CTAATTTATAACTTTTTCTCTCAGTCAGAAAAAATGTTTCTGTTTTTGTTCAGTGTGATTAAAACGTAAGAAAAATCCCACTTTTTTTACATGTACTTTTGAATTGCTTTATAGTGGGAGCACCAGGCACCTCGTTACGTTGAGCCTTATGGACCAGTTGTCCAACCGAAGAAATATTTTGAACTGAAGCTGAAGCGAGCGTCTCTTCTGGAGGGAACCTTGGTGCAGCTGGCTGCCGCTCAGCACGACTTCAAGAAGCCGCTTGTGGTGAATGTTTCACTCTGGTCTGATGTCTGAAGTGAAACCTTCCAGCTGCTCCTGTCTGACCGACTGTTTGTCTCTCAGGTCTACTTCGATGAGGACACGGACGTCACCCAAGTCTACATGAAAGACTTTTTCCACCACGTATTTCGTGAGTTGATGTCGGCCGAGCTGGGGATGTTCATGTTCAACGACTCAGGAACCCTGGCGTGGTTCTCCTCCAACGTGAGGCTTCGTTCTGGATTTTCTGCAACGACAGAACAGCGACATGCGTCTCCAGAGATTCACAGTTTCTTCATCTCGTCCCTGCAGGTGACGCAGGAGAGCAGGACCAAGTGGTACCTGTTCGGGGTTCTGTGTGGACTGGCGCTGTACAACCAGAACATCGTCTACTTACCGTTCCCGCTGGTTCTGTTCAAGAAGCTGCTCAGGGTGGAGCCGACGCTGCAGGACCTGCTGGAGTTCAGTCCAGTAGAGGGACGGTGAGAATCCCACGTTCACATTCAGTGGTGCAGGTTGAGCTGGGACTTTTTGAACTGTCATTTTTTGTGCTGTTATTTTGCAGATTTTTCCTATTTGAAATTTTATTTTTATTCCAGATATAAGCTCATAAAATCACAGAAAATTATATTAATTTTAATGCTAACGCGATAAAAAACAACCTGAAACTGTGAATAATGTCCACATCAGGTTTTATGTCACAGTTTTTATTTGAAATGAAAAAGAAAGATATATTAAGGACAGAGAAATGGTAAGTCATGTGTTTCACTGTTATTCTACAGATTTTCCTTGTTTCGTTAAATTACAGAGAATATCTAAAAAATCACTAAATTACATGTTTACTGTAAAAAAAAAAAAAAAAAAAAACAAGCAAAAAAAAGAGAGAAAAACTTTCTAAATGTCCAGATTAAATAATTTTGACTGTTTTTAAAATACAAAAAAAAATGTATTTTACAGATATTTACCATTACCTAAAATAAAAAGTAGGTCTAATAAGGATATTCAAAGAAAAATAAATTAGAAAAAGATTTTTTGCTGTATTTAAATTACAAAAAA